TTTTTTTTTTTTTTGGTACCAGGGATCGAACTCAGGTCCTTGTGCTTGTGAGGCAGGCCACTGAACCGCTGAGCTAAATCCCCGGCCCCATCTTGTCTTTAAAAAACAGGGAGCCAGGCATAGTGGCGCACACCTTAATCCCAGCACTCGGGAAGCTGCGGCAGAGCAATGATGCAAGTTCAAGGCCAGCCTGGGCTACACAGTATGTTCAAGGCCGGCCTGAACTATATAGTGAGCTCCTATCTCAAAAAAACAAAATTAAATAAATACATGGCTGAGAACATAGCTCAGTGGTAGAGTGTCTGCCCTGGGTTCAGTCCCTAACACAGGAGAGAAAGAGAAGGAAAGAGAAAGAGAGGACTAGGATGACCACCTTCAGTAGCATCAGACATTAGATTTTATGTGTCAGACATTTCTGTGTTAGAGATATTTTCTAAGTTCATTCTGATTTAATAGTTTAGCAATCCGCTGAAAGTTTCTGCTTTTGTCAAGTATTGCAAAGTATTTGGAGCCATGCTTGGGGCAGAACTTGAGATACTGGATGGGCAGCACATGCCCTGGGACCTGAGAAGCCTATGTGAGGCATCAGGGGCATCCGGTTCTAGGGGACAGGCACTGGGGTCTTCATCCTGGACTCTCCATGTGGAAACGCAGCAGACAGCCAGTCTGTCTGGAAGAAAACAACTGCCCTGCCCCTCTGTACAAAGCTGGCTGCTTTGCGCCTGACAAGGAACACACTCTGCATCTGCAACTATATACCCCTTTGGAACTCACTACGGCTTCTCTAAGTCCAACTGGCTTTATTCATTTAAATAGTTCCATAAGAAGCTCTTACAAATATCAAATGTCATTAAAAGACAGTACACCTAAATGTTTCAACTTCTTGTATATGGCAGACTATAGTTATCAAATGAGGATGTGTGAATCTGTGTTCCGAGTCATAATAACCCAGACCCAGTCTTCAAGTCCGCCACAGTGTATTACAAACCCAGCCCGATATGCTGCTGCCTGAACATGGTTCTTATCCAAAGAACCTTCCCACCATTTACTTCCTGAGCGTGGCCAAACACTGTGGCTGCATTTAGAAAGCGCAGGCCTGGCAGGGATACACAGCCCACATGCTGAGCCTGTGTATTTTATGGCCCACTGTTAACAGCCCCGGCTGCAGTTGCATTTAAGACAAGAATAAGTTTACAGCTGAGATGGCAATCGGAGCCCACTCTGGCTCCCTGTCCTAAGGCCCCAGCAGAGCCCCAGTGCCTCCGTTGGCCTCTGGAGACCACATGTCTGCAAGCAGAGGCACAGGTCACACCAGCTCTACCCTCCTCCTCCTCTTCCAGCCTCACCACTCATGCAAGGTCTTGACAATGTTACTGATGTCCTTCTTCCGGATGTCACGGCCGATGCAGAAATCCACTTCTAACAGCTGGTTTCGCTGGTCCAGCTTGCCCTGGATGATGTCAGTGTAGACGGCCTCTATGATGAGGTCTTCCAGTTCCCGGAGATTCCTCATCTCCAGGTCCTTCAGCAGCACAGAGTAGGGGATGCACTGTGGAGAAGGCCACGCGGTAGTTAGGAAAGCCGCCTGCATGCATTTGTGAAGATACAGCTATGACCCAGAGCCAACAGCGGCCTCTGGCTCAGGCAGTGCAGGCCAGGGTGACCGTGAACGTCGGGGCAGGAGTGTCGGCCCACAGCCTGGGCAGCTGGTAACGCAACCACACGAGGCCTTAAACGTTTTAGTGGAGGACGGGGAGGTTGAGACAGCGTCTTGCTGTGTGGTGCCACTACCAGGCTAGCACCAGAGGTCTAACGTCATGTGACTTCAGTAGTTTTCGTGACTTGATTACAGGGCGCTCTGGCACGGACTGCGCAGGCAACGAGAATGCTGCGCACTGCAGACCCTTCCTCCCACACCCACCAGTCAGTGAAGCGCAATATGAGCACAGCAGAAGGTCGGCACACTTGTGCAACATGGACAGCAAAATGCAGCAATTACCAAAAAGAGCATTTCAACCTGCCTACACGTGCATGCTGTGACGACAGGCACTGTTGTTATTCAGCAGACACGTAAGTTTTCTCATTCCATGAAACCTGGACTTGTGTTACTTCTCTGTCAAGTTAAAAATATTTAAAAAAGATGTTACATATACAGGAACCATATAGAGAGAGCACACATTGTGTATGGCCCACATACACTATACTGTGACTTCATACGCAGCCAGGAAGCGCCTCACTCAGGGTGGCCCACGCAGGGCCAAAGGCAGGACACGCAGGGCCCAGTGCTACAGAAGGCGGAGAAGGGAACACAGGACCTGTAAGACCCAAACAAGACTCCCCAGCACCCCAGAAGTGCCCTCCTGGCTCTCTACACTGTGGAGTTTTCCCAGCCAAGGACTCTCACACTCTTACAAACCCTAGACGCGTGCTGGAGAAAATAGAAATATTAGGTATGTGCCACGCTGCCTCCTTCTGGAAGTCTGCAGATTACATAAAATGCCAGATTATCATAGACCTCCAAGCAAAAAAGCCTTGCAGGCCAAGGCTTCCTCCTATGGGTGGCCAGCCATGGAGGTCATTCTCAAGGCAGCACTGTTTCCTCAGACTCCTGCCACCAACACAGAGTCCACAGCAATATTCCTGTACTGGGCCATGGTACTGATCTGAATGACTCCACGATGACAGGACATCTGAATATCCAGCTTTCTGCAAACCATCGGAGACAGCATACTAGTCTGGAAATAAACAGTGATCAAATCTGTATAAATAGATGGGGGGGGATTTAGCTCAGTGGTTCTGCCTCCTGCCTCGCAAGTGAAAGGACTCAAGTTCAATCCCCAGTACCAAAAAGAAATAGACAAGGGGGAGATCCACACAGAGCAGAGTGACAGCAAAGCCACCAAAAGGGATTTTCTGTGACAAGACATGCTGGGGAGAGGCGGACTTAAAATGACAGATTACAGAAGGAGAAAAAACTCATCCTACTCTCACCACACGGAAAAGCTCAAGATCAGGACAAGATAGGCAGGTTCTCACTTCCCAACAAAATGGGCTGGGTGCAGCTCAGTGGTGAAGTGCTTGCCTCGCACACGTGAGGCCCTGAGCTCAATCCCTCACCACCGCCAAAGAAACAAGACTCATACCTGAGATGCTGCGGCAAGAATCAGGAGTGTGTGATTAAACTACGATCATTCAACAAGTGTCAGGGCGATCCAAGAACAAATACACTTCTCTCAAGCTCAACCACACAGGGAAATGCCCACCACCAGCACTCAAACACAGGCAAGGCCGAGCAGAGAGCCAGGCAACTGTGAGCTAACCAAGCCTAGATCCTCTTTATGAATGGCCTGAGCAGCTGCCTGCCAGACTTCTTCTGAATCAGCTGGGCCAGAGCACTCGGAGAGACGGTGGAGTGAATGTCGCTTACAGGAGGGTGGGGTGTCAAGTCAGCACGTGAGGCAAGATTTCCCACTAGTGTCACGAACCTTGAAAATCCCAGAAGCAGTGTATTAAAAATCTACCTCTCTGGGCGAGGGGTGTGGCTGTGTGGTAGAGTGTTTGTCTAATACATGCAAGGCCTAGGTTCAATCCCCCAGCAGTCCTCTCAGGAAGTCCAATGTACCAGTTTTCCTCCAGCACGGGCAAAGTCCACGTGCGCTGAGTGACAGGGGAAGTCGTTAGCTTGCCACAAGTTGCCTTGCTATTTGAAAAGTATACACCATTAAGCAGCGCCCTTCCCTAACAAGACAACATGCCCACCCGACTCAAAGCCCCATGGCCGCCAGCAAAGAGGCCCACTGCTCCGTCTGGCCTGCTGTCCCTGAACGGAATGGCAGTAACTCACGGCCCCATTTTAACTGTCCTCCCCACCTTAACTGTAGTCCTCACTGTCATCCCTTTCTCCTTTTTCCTTTGCTAAGTATATTTTATGCATTTAGGATGCACTGTGTGTGGCTGAGTTCCCTCACCAATGCCCTCGAGACACCGGGGTCGGATCGAGTAAGAAGACAGGCGACACCAGGACGTACCTTCATTCTGGATGCCAAGCTCACGATGGTAAGGTGTTTCAGCTTGTTCTGCTGGGCTGTGCTCAGTTCTGGCAGGCTCTCCTTGTTGGCTGCTCGGTCCCACCCACCACAAAAATCAAGACATAAAGAAAAATTAGGATTTCTTTTATGGAATAAACTCATCCCTCCCATGCCAAATCTACTAAATCACTGTCATGACTGTGAACGTATTCATGAGGTAAGCACTGCATGAGCACTTCCAGTCTTCTCTGGGAGACCATACGCCTCCAAAAAGAACAGGCTCGGTCTCTCCACACGAGGAGTTTAGTATCTTGAGGAGCCAGGCTTGCACAGACACCATGGGGTGGCAGTTATCTTAAGGGACCTCTGCTCGTGCCTGTGACACGAGAAGGGAAGAAGGGGAAGAGGGTTGAGGGAAGGCAGTAAGTGCAATCTCACTTAAGATAAAAGAAAGGCTTTAGAGCAGAAGTGGAGTTTGGGGTGAGCAAAACCTTAGTGATAATAGGACTGATCACAGCAGAAGCAGGGCAGCGGCAGGGGACCCAGCACACAGCCCATGCAACAGACACCCACCCAGTTAACCTTCTCAACAACCCGGGACAGACTCCAAATGTCCTATCTCTTAACCCTAACTCTTGATTCCAAAAATCTGAATCTAAATTGTTGTTTCTTATGCACAGTGCTGAAATTCATCTGGTGGAGACCACGGCAGAAGGGGGAAGAAGTCTAGAGTAGCAATGCTAAGTTAATGAAGTTACAACTATGAGTGACTTAATGTTTTTCAAATTTTCTTCAATATGGTGATGTTATTTTGATAACATTTAAAGTGCTGAAATATTTTACAATGGACATCCTGACATGTCAAAGCACTTCAAGCGCCTTTCAAACTCCAGTTCTCAACAATTTCTCCTGGAAAACACCCAAGGGCTCTATCTGTGGATGAGCTCATTTTACCAAACAGGAAGTGAAGGTGAGAAGGGAAATCCCTTTTGTGAGGTCACCAACAGGGTGAGAAAGCCAAGTTAAGAAGGCCCCCAACTCACACCCTTCACACCTCAGCCCTCAGTGGTTCTCCAAACCAAGACAAGTCTTTGGAAGGATCTTACCAACTCACCTATGTAGTCCGGGTATGTCCCATAGGCAAACAGGTTCAGCAACTGCACGTACGCAGCGTTAGCGCCTTCTGCAAGCTGAGGAGGAAAAACAAAGTTCACTAGAGAACAAGCCGTCTAACGGTCACCACTGTGTCCAGCAGAGGCTGGGTGACTGTGCGGAAGATGGATGGCCACTCCTGTGGCACTGTTGGGCTCAGTGGCCCCTGCTGTCCCTTCCAACTGATTCTTTGGGGAAAAATAAAATTACTACAGCCCCAAATTGAACCTTTCTTCCTCAAGATGTTTTATATTACTTGCAGATTTTTCACACACACCTAAGCTGGAAGTAGTTTAAGTTTTCTCGGGATTCCCTGTGAATTAAAACAGAGACTGGAGGGGCGGGAGATGTAGCTCAGTGGTGCCACCACCTGCTTTGCATATGCAAGGTCCCATGCTTGATCCTGGGTACAAAAAAAAAAAAACAAAAACAGAGACTGGAGCACCCCTGGACACACCCCAGCCCAAGAGGCTGATAACCACTACCGATCTACACTGGAAACTTAGGGTCAGTTCCAAGTTTCAGCACTGCACATGGACTATGAATGAACCCGGGAGTGACTAGCAGAGCACCAGGTGGGGCAAAAAAGCAGGATATGAGGCTGCCCCGAACGAACATTTTCATACTCTTCACTGGTGCTGATGGCAAAGAGCCATCTGCAGAAGAAAAATGCAAGAGTCACACACTGTTCTGCCTGGAACTGCTCTGCTGTGGTCGGTTACCTAACAAGGTGCCTTCCTCCACCACAAATGACAGCTGTTACTCTTCCAACTTACCAAGGGCAGCACAGTCAAAACACGAGTAACAAGATATCAATAGCAATACTATTTGATTTGAGCCATTTGGGAGGGAAAAACAAAAAGAACTGTACCCATAACTTCAGACCACTGAAAGGCAACTACCATATTCCCAGCTCCCAATGGAAAAACATAAGCCATGGGGAGAGAAAAGCGACCTATTGGGCCAGGGATTTAGCTCAGTGGTTCTACTGCCTGCCTGGCAAGCACAAGGTCCCGAGTTCAATCCCCCGGTACCAAAAAAAAAAAAGCACCTGGTGAGAACGCTGGCAGCAAACACCTCAGTCTGCTTTCTCAGCTTACCATGTACCTCCTGAAGCCCCAAAAGAAGAGTTGCAAGAGACCTGCTAAAGACCACCAAGCCTAGCCCCACTTTTCAGACAGACAACTATAAAAATAAATGAAACAGATTACATCCTCTAGAACTGATATTCCAAAGCGCTCCCACTGGCCTCAGTTAATGAGGTCTTGCCTGCTTTAATTTTCATCCATCTCGTCTTAGCCAGTCTTTCACAGTTACAACACAACCACTTGGCCTCCATCTGGGCTTTTCATGAACCTGAAAGAAAATATTACTCCTTGGCCATCTAGCTTATCTCAGTTGGAAACTGGGCCCAGTTCTCCCAAATCTTCTCTCTATGGTAAACTATATTTTTAACTGAAAGCTTAGGGTATATCGGGCTATGTATTCAGCTCCAAGGAGCTTGGAGCTTGCAGAGCTTACAGGGTAGCAAGTAAGACTGGCATTAAATAAAAATGTGTAACTGAACAACCAATGTGGCTCTCCCATCTCTGGCCATCAGAGGAAGAGACCTGTGGGGAACGGTGATGGGGAACTGCTCCAGCCTCCTGACCAGGAAGACGAAGCAGACAGACAACACTGCACCCAGCAACCTGAAGGTCACAGTGGGCTGCAGATGTGGAGTTGGCAGCCAGCAGGAGAGGAATTGCTGCAGTCGTGAAAGTGACGAACCACCCAGCAGGAGCAAGCGATCCCCATGAGCACAAGAGCCACTCTCAGCAGCATCTGGTGTACGGCCTGCAGGAAACACCAAAGCCTGGTTCTGCACACACACGACAGCCACCCACACAGCCAGCACCACCCCAAGCAGCCTGTGACAGCGAAGACAGAGCAAACTGCCCCCCACCAACACACCAAGACCTCCCAAAGGCTTCCTCAAAGCTCCTGCAGCGTAACAATGACTGCACTCTTTGCCAACAAATCAATAAAAATGCAAGAGTCAAAGGTGAGAAGTATAAGGTGCGTTCCACCGGGCCATGTTCCACCTGTCTGGTCATCATTAACAGATCTTCTCATGTTTGAGGCAGAGACCAAAACTGGACACAACAATCAAGCCAACAAAGCAAAATGAACTCCTTTCTTGCTTTACGTGTCTTGCGTTTTACCACATCTACTTTAGTACAACACTGCCCTTTTCCACAAGGACGATATTTCCTTATTCATGCCCATCTCACGTTCAACAGCCACAATTTCCGCTGTGTGTGTCCCTAATCAATCTTGTCCATTGTCCATATTGCATCGGAGGTCCTCTGTTGCTCAGAATTCCTGAAACTACTCCTATTAAACATCAGCCCATATTTACAGCATTATTCTAATTGATCAGGACCATTTTGACTTTTTTACTATCTTTCAGATAACTAGCAACCTCATCAAATTTTACCCAAGTTTGGGGGAAAATATTGAATGAAAGGCGCCCCAGATGCCATCCTCAACCACCTCCCCTGCCCCACTACCAGGCATCCCTCTCTAAACAGGGTATCTCACAGGTCCACTCTGGAACCCCTGTCAATCTGGAGAAACACCGAAAGGCTCAGAACAAAGAGGAATTCAGTGGAAGCCACTCTTACCTCCTGAACATTGGCCAGCTCCAGCAGTTCTCCAAAGACGTAAACTCCAGGAGCCTCCAATACCTGGCTTATGAGAGCAGTAAGTGCTGACCCACTGGTACCTTTGGCTAATAAAATAAACTGTTCCAGGAGGTTACTTGAAGGTTTTTGTTCACCTGCCATTCTCTGGCTTTGAGATCTGTCCAAAAGAAAAAGAGTATCAGTCATTCTTCCTCTTCTTTCCCAAAGTCTATATTGCAAGGCATGGTGATGCATCCCTGTAATACCAGCACTCAGGAGGCTGAGGCAGGAGGATTGCCTCAGAGTTCAAGGCCAGCCTGGGTGACATAGTGAGTTCAAGGCCAGGATGAACTACACAGCGAGACCCTGTCTCAAAAAAAAGGGAAGACCAAAGTCCCTATTTATTTAATACTGAATCAGACACCAGAATACTTTTTTCCCCAGTACTAGGGATTGAATCCAGAGCTTCATGCATCTTAGGCAAGCATTTTTATCACTGAGCTGCAACCCAGCCCTTATTTTATTTTGAGACAGTTTGAGTGATCTCAAACTTTCCATCCCATGTTGCTGGGCGTCTAGGCACACACAATCACAACCAGTGCCAGAATACTTTTAATTTTATAGTGGTGATAAAGATAAAATGGCAAATAAGTCCAAATGGAATAACCATTTTGTGGGACAGGCAGAGTCCAACCTGGAGTTAAAGGGATCTTGTCCTCAATTCTTTGTTTCTTTGTTTTGTTTGTTTTTGAGACAGGGTCTCACTATGTAGTTGAGACTGATCTGGAACTCACTATGTAGCCCAGGCTGGTCTCAAACTCACAGCGATCCTCCTGCCTCAGCCTCCCAAGTGCTGGGATTATAGGCATGCGCCACCTCACCCGACCTATCTTGTCCTCAATTCTGAGGTTTGAAACACATCTGTAAAAGTCATTTCCTCGGGGCTGGGGATTTGACTCAGTGGTACCATACCTGTCTTGCAAGCACAAGCCCTGAGTTCGATCCCTGGTACCAGGGGAAAGAAAGTCATTTATTCATCTGTCCCTCTCTCAGAGGCATTAATGTGGACAAGGGGTCAGGGATATAGCTCAGCGGCACCACACCTGCCTGGTAAGCACAAGGTCCTGAGTTCAATCCCAGTACAAAAGAAAGCAGACCAGGATGAAAACTAACACATGGAAGTTGTTTCATACATATAAATTTTTATTTATTTATTTATTTATTTTTGAGACAGGGTCTTGCTATGTAGATCAGGCTCGCCTTGAACTCACTATGTGGCCCAGGCTGCCCTCAAACTTCAGCAATCCTCCTGCCTCAGCCTTCCCAGTGCTAGGATTACAGCTGCGGGCCACCATGCCCAGCTCTCCCTAGATGTCTTACATCCACCTGATTTATAGGCTCTGGTTGAGGCAATTTGTTTCAGCTTCCCATATGTCATCAGGATCCCATCTACAGCCAGACACAGATAAAATATAAAAAATAGACAAGAACCATATTACACTTAATCAAGGAAGTTATTTAAGGGCAAGGATGTGGTAGAGCATGAGTTTAGCATCCAAAAGGCCCTGTGTTGGGCGGGGGGCGTTGTGTTAGGATAGGAAATGGGGGAAACGAAAGACAAGCAACAACAAATTCAATCTTAGAAGAGACATGTTGTGTAAGTCCATGGGGAGAAATCCCTTTATTTGGCCTCCTACTGATTGGTGATATTTACCAAACAGGACTTCTGAACTATCAGGAAACCTTTACAACAGGATCTGGGAAAACAATGCAGACACTGTACTGCAACCTCCAAGCCCTTACGGTAGGACTGTGATCTAACTGCAGGTTGAATGTCTGTGGACATACAGCATACCTACGCTCCCCCAGTTCTACGTAAGAGAACACCTGTTCTCTACATATGAGACACTAGGAAGTGTGACAAAATGACAGAAAGGTTTGTATAGCAGTGTGAAGCGAACGTCAGTTCAAAGGAGGGTTTGGTGCAAGAGAAACTAAGTTTCCCTGTGGAGTCTGGTACACCTAATAGCAATTGTTCCTCGCGAATGAAGTATTGCCTGACTTACGTTTCTCACGAAGGTCTTGTCAGAAAGAGAGAAGTGCTAAAAGGAACAAAGTCTTCTGGGGAAGAAGGGGAGGAAGAGGAGAGGGTGACAGGACGAAAGGAAGGGGTGGGAAAGGGAGGAAAGAAAGGCGATGATGGTTAGGAAAGAAAGAACAAAAACCGCCCTTCCAAGCTCACGCGTGAACACACAGATGGGGATCTCGGCCAGCGGACTAAATGAAAGACGTCAGGAGTGGCCAGGAGGGAGGGAAATGGGGAGAAACTTCGGCGCCTCCGAAAGATCCCAACCCAGAAAGCAAAGTCTGTTGAGGCAGAGCGTGGACCCCGGTGGCCGTCTTCCCAGGGGGGGCGGCGGCGAGGGGCCCTGCGGAGACGAATTCCCGACAAGGGAGGGCGCTGATGTGATGGGCCGGGGAGAGCGAAGG